GACCTGTTGTCGCCCATGGCTAGGTTTTACGGGAAGAGGGCCATAGACCACTACCTAACCTCCGAACAGGATGGACTAGGATATTGCCAGAACGCCCACAGATGCCAGGAGAACGACTCGGATACTCAGCCAAAGCCTTCGAGTAAATGTACACCCAACAGGGAGCGAATCTAGAAAATGATCAATTCACTGACAAAAGCGGATTGCTGTCTTGGATCATAGCAGGGAGAAGGACGTTACTCAACTTCCACTCAGCGCTCGCCACGAGGCGTCTAGGACAAGAGCCCATGACACAACAAAATCAGCAGTGGGTAGACCATCTGTCAGGATCTAGCCACCACCATCATCAGCGCACCATAGGCTTTACCGCCTCAACGCATTGCATAGGAGCATACATACATACACAGAGAAAAATACACGACCGTTAGCCAGGCCGGTGAATTGAGAAGGACGGTAGAATACTACCCAATAGCTTTGTGGAAGAGTATAGTTAGAATTTACAACAGCTCTATTATTGAGCACCTTACTCAGAACCAGTATCAACTTGTGGCCACATGAAATTTCAAAGACTTCTGCGTCCTGAAAAAGCGTTAGTTAAAAGGTCCTCGAAAACAAATATTAATGACGTTCGACGCCATTGCGATGAGACTAATGCAACCTGAACTGTGCAAACAAAGGAGGAGTGTACTGATTAATTCTGCCTTGGCCGAGTCCACGGTGAACGCCACTAGGCCTGATCAAAGGCGGTGATTCAGTTGCCCTCGTCACACCACCAGACGGACTAAAGGTCGTGTGAGTGAGACAACCAGCCGAGTCCGGAAAATCAGGGCCGAAACTGAAACTCAATTAAGTCCAACCTGGAGTCATACGCCAAGCGACGATGATAATGTTGATAATGATGACGATGAGGATGATGCTGATGATGACGATGAGGATGATGAAGATGGTGCTGATGATGGCGATGATGATCATGATGGTTGTGATGATATTGAGGATGACGAAGACGGTGATGATAATCATGATGATGACGACGACGACGATGATGATGAGGATGATGATGATGACGATGATGATGGCGATGATAATGATGAGGATGGTGTTCGCTAAACTGTTGGCTTAAGCATCTGGCTGTTTCGGATACTTATCTTTCGGATAAGATAATAGCTTGATGCAATCTCTTGGTCACTGTTAGCTCTGCTGTGTTTACTATATGGGGTAGATTCAAGACAGACATACGATCGTGAATCGAAGTAGATACTTCTGAAATGAAAGGGCCTCGAATCACCCTCACAAGAAGGCGGCGGCCGCAGGTGTGATCAAATTCATCAAACGCGGTCATTCTTTAAAAGATAATGGTCATACCGAGCCTTATATATATATGTAACATCGTTGGAGTGTCTTACATAATCTCAGTAAGGGAATAATGAGTCCTCTAAATGAGCAACGGTCTACAAGGGATCTGTTGAATTATCCTCTCCAGTTTCAATCAACTTCTTGGGGTAGTTTAGGAGTATTTTAGACCTTGGACCTTGTGCTCACCAACGAGGAACTAATGATTGACACCGTTTCCATAGCTACACCACTAGGTCGTAGTGATCACGCGACGTTGCACTTTCGTTACATCTGTTATTCGGAGTACGTTAGAGAGGACGACGAGGAAACTTATATGGTTACACATTACGACATCTTGTCTAACCTTGTTCAAGACACCAACTGGTCCTTCCTGACCGAGAATCCGCCCGATGAGGCTTGGATGGTGTTTGTCACCAAATTCACTGAGCTAATGGCAAATGCATCAGAACGCAAGGCCTTTCGCCCGAAGCAAGTGGATTCGTTCCTAAGAAGCCGTACGAGAAAATCTATGGCCTTAAGGGATTTGGCCTGGCACGCTTACAAAGTTTGCCCAAGTAATCTGACCTGGGGAGTCTACACAACTCAACGAAACCACTGCGTCAAGTTGATTCGCGAAGAGAAATTCCAGCACCAACAGAACTTAGCGGCGAAATTCAGCAAAAATCCGAAGCTGTTGTATAGACATATCAACAAACTCCGTAGAGTGCAGCGCGGGATCCCGGTCTTGCGTGCAACAGATGGTCATGCGCAAACTGCACAGGACGCGGCCAACGTGTTTCGTCAACACTTCCTCCATACTTTCCGGAGTGAACCATCCCTTCACCCGATTTTGACAGAGCTCTCACCGTTCCCATGTTTACACAACGTATCGTTCACGGCAACCAGTGCGTTGAAAACGCTAATGTCGTTGCGTGTGCACAGCTCGCCAGGCGTAGACGATATTAAACCGAAGGCGTTGAAGGCAGCGGCCCTAAACATTGCCGAACCATTAGCTCGGTTCTTTCAACGTTGTCTTGACGAAATGCTGGTTCCCACAATGTGGAAAGATGGGCTAGTCACTCCCATTTACAAAAGCGGTAATCGTGCGGAGCCGTCGAACTACCGTCCAATCACTCTCCTCCCAGCTTTATCCAAAGCAATGGAACGTATAATTGCGGAGGCTCTGATGGGATATCTGGAAAACAACAATATCATAGTGCCACAGCAACACGGATTCCACCGAAATCGATCCTGCACTACAAACTTGCTGCTGGCCCGAGCAAGCTGGACGGAGTCAGCTGATGCTAGATTTGGAGTCGACGTTGTCTACCTGGACTTCTCGAAGGCGTTCGATCGTTTGGACCACCGCATCCTCCTACACAAGCTTCGAGGCTACGGAATCGGTGACCCTGTGCTTGGTTGGATCGCCAACTTTCTCACTCAACGTCAGCTGAATGTGAGAGTCCGCAGCTCCATGTCCGACCCAATTGACGTCCAGTGCGGTGTGCCACAAGGGTCAGTACTGGGGCCATGTTCGTTAACGACCTTGCCAGTGTACTACAGTCGAAGTTCTTGCTGTTTGCAGATGATGTCAAAATTTGACATGACATCCGGACAGAGGACGACCACACAACACTGCAGAGCGATTTGGACAGGGCGTACACTTGGTCATCCGAAAACATGCTCCACTTCAATGTCGCCAAGTGCAAAGTCGTGAGCTTACGCCACCAGCTCATCCATGAATACTTACTTGGGGACCAGCCGTTGCAACATGCTTCCCAGGAATGCGACCTCGGAGTGATCGTGCAGGATGACCTTGGCTGCTCCAGACAAGCTGAAAAGGCATCGAAAAGGGCCAGTCAACATCTCGGACTCTTACGGAGGGCTTTCGGAAATTTCGAGCCATCTGTATTTCCGAAAATGCTGAGCGCTTACGTGAGACCCCACGTGGAGTATGCGATCCAGGCCTGGCGTCCCTGGCGCAAGCGCGACATCAGTGCACTTGAAGCTCCACAGCGTAGAGCAACGAAGCTCGTCAGAGGCCTGTTTCACATCCCCTACCAACGCAGACTGCAGTCTCTGGGACTGTACAGTGGTGAATATCGTCGTCACCGAGGAGACCTCATCATGGTCTACTTAATACTGATGAATCCAAATCACCCATGTCGCAGTCTCTTGCAGCTGAGCCAAAATACCAACCTGAGAGGTCATCAGCTCAAACTGGCTACACACTACAGCCGACTTGATTGTCGACGAAACTCTTTCTCACTCCGTGTGTCCCGTGCTTGGAATGCGCTCCCCACTCACGTCGTCCTTGCCCCCACATTGGCACTATTTAAAAAACGCCTAGATGACACACTTTCCAACTTGCATTATTTGGCATAGCACGTCCTAATTCGGAGGACGAAATAACGAGACCCAAACCATGAGGTTACTGACCCTCCCCGCAAAGTGGCGGTGATGTTACATACAGAAGTGTCCCAATGAGCGACATGGATGTATACAAACTGGAGTAACGTACCACATCTCTCAACGGAAGCAACACACGAGTGAGCGTTATCCGTTCCTTTGATTTCTTTTTCCCATATTTGCTATAATAACAGCTCTACTTTGGGTGCAGACATCCAGTCCATACTTCAAACTATCATTATGAAGTGGTGCGTTGAAATCTGTAGAGGCTTAAAAAACGATTTACTTGTTCGATTATCCTTCCATTTTATCTATTGCTCCAACCACCCTACGGGACCTGTCAAGCATATGCTTTTTTACCTGTTATAAATCATTGTTCATTGTTCAGTAGCAGTAACCTAGAAGCAATGCTGTGACCAATGATTCAAAGAAAGTAACTTCCCCTAATAGATTCATTAGAAAAGAGGGGATGATTATCGATACCCGCCAGTCTGAAGGCATTTCCCTTTTGAGTTACTGAACAGTTACTAGGCGAACCATAAACGAACCATCACCGTGGTTGAAAACATTGTTGGCATGTCGTCAAATTTCCCCGCATAAGCAAGATCAGACCACTTAAGATTTTATTGATACTGAAATGCGGGCAGCTGATCCGTAGACCAAATGAAATAAGCATCGCAATGATTCTCTGAAAATGCAAGTTGTTGCAATGAGAGTAGGCTAACTGTCCATCTTTCTCAGCTGCTGCTTCGCTTACTGACATTCCTCGTAAATCAGGACTGCGCATGGGTCTGAGCAATAGTCAGCACCAGACCTCAGTTGCTTGAGCGTGGGTCAGTGATTTCTATTAACTTAGAATCGGATGCTGGGTCAGTGCAATAAAAATGTAAAATCAACTGGGGTATAACATTGCATTTCGGAATTTCATTCAACCTTCCGTTTTGGTACATTTTTCGTTCGCGATTGTATTGATATTTGGTGTGAATATGGGGCTGTGGATGATGCACCGTAAGGCATATATGGCACGCCTGTAGGATATAGAGCCCCGTAGCTGCTCATAGACAAGTGGGGATCAAAGATTGAGGTGTACCAGAGTCACCATGCTGTTCAAATGCAAATCTGGGTGCGGGAGAGCCGGTAAGAAGTTGATGAGTAGTGACCGTAAAGATTGACTTCGTACGTTTGCTAACATTAGTAAGTTTTCGTAAGTCGGACTATGAACAAATGGTGTGCCGTACTGTAAGCAAGAAGACAACTTGCAACTTCCTATAAGATAATCAGAATTGGCAACTCCTGAGTCTAGTACAAGTGAAACATTCCGAAAAAGCGCATCAGACAAACGAGATGAGTGTATAAGGGGTGCAGTCCCCATGTGTTAGCCAAACCAAATGAATCGTTCTTTCTGGTTTAAGTGCAGAGAACGGTTGTGATAATTGTGAACTAAGACAACATTATGCGCTATGCCGCAGAAATAGACAGCAAACTTCACAAGTAAGTTGCGCTAATTTCCGGACAAAATTTTGTACATACGGTCAAGAAAAGACAGTACAGTCACTGAAAAACTTATCTCCGAAGAGCAAGCAGTCAACTGCCCGATACAATCAGGCTACAGGTATGTGTCTCACGTAAAGATTAGCGTGGTGTGTGTACGATGATAGCAGACACAATGAGTGCCATCGAACGGTACCAAAAAGTCGTTCAGTAAGGGAGAAATGTTCTTCGGTACAACTCGATGGAAAGTCGTGTGAGTGAATGCAGAATTTCTCGTGCCCATACTACCAGGAAACAGGTACTAAGAAACCATGGTTTTCAGATCAGCTTAGGAACTTTGAAGAGTGCAGTGCGGATCCTCGGGGGGTTCATGGAGTTATATGAAGGTCAACTTTTAGTTTTATGTGTTAAACTGAAAGAAATGTGGCGAATGAAAAATTTATGTCAAATCTGCATACCACATGAGAACAGGTAATAGTTGTTAACGGTTCCAAACTACTAGCGACTTCATTTGGAGTGGATGTGAAACTATTTACAATAAGACAGTACAAAGAATTTGCAAAACTATCACGTCCAAGAAGAAATTAGTTCCTAAAGTTCAGGTACATTGAAACAGCTAGGTAAAAGTAATTCAAAGAAATTGGAGGCTTTCAAAACAAAGCAACTCCAAAGTTGAGCGAGAAAGGAAGTTCAATGAGGGTCTCATTGGTCGAACGGGCTCGATGCAAATGGAGAGGTGGTAAAAATGCAAAGACGAACGACGAAATAAGAGCATGAACACCATGTGAGCATGACCAGTACAGCGCAACTGGAATGTCAGTTGCCACTCAGGGGAAAATTCAACAAGATCCATCGGGACAACTGCGACTGAGTAAATGTCTTCAAATCGAAGTAAAATGTACTCCAATCGGAGTGGGTGATAGGGAGACGGAGTGGTATGCACCTACTGCTGCCCCAACTTATGTCACAACATAGGTTCCTACACAGAGTTTATGTCGTCGATCGGACTGGACTTTTGCTTAAGCAATGGCTGTGTACTTGGTGGTTCTATGCCGTTGTTCCGATCTTCTTTGGTGAACACGACCATTGCGCGACCCTCCAAAGTGGCTGTGCGTCGGCCAACGACAATATTTCCAAAGGCCAGGTCCCGAGCGACTTCATCAAATGTGCGGTTTCGTGTCTCTGGCATGAACAGGAAGAAGAAAATCCAGCAAACCACGACGATCACCAGAAATGGTAGGAACGAGTAGCCTTTGATCGCCCTCTGAAATAGAGAAGATGGGGATGTTGTGGTCGCAACAAGTAGTGAGCGACTTGGCACTTGACGCGTTAGATAATGCATGCGTTAAATGAATGCAACGGCCGCGACTCCCAGCGAAAAAATAGAGGCGAACCCCTAATCGCCATGGGCGCAATGTTATCGGGCAGACAGTCATTAGCAGAGGTAGGTGAAGAAAGAACAAGCTGATCCACAACGTCAGAGACTCGGTTAATGTAAACTACTTCACACTACGCTTATCAATGCTTGTCAGTAAGGCATATGTCCTGTAATTAAAAGTTTGGATAAAATCCATTTATCGCTGCACCAGTAGAATAACATGGCTTAAAATGCGGATCGCATGGGGATAGTTGGCAGCTTAGCTTGGACAGGGCGCAATGCTTCAAGGTCTTAAATGGCCATTATTGAAAAGCCAATATACCTTCTACGGTAGTAATGAATTTAGGGTGATAATCTTGAAAACGATAGTATACGCAATGACGCATGCTTAGGGTTAGAGTTGTGTTGATTAAATTGCAAAGCTTATTCGCTTTGTGAAACAAATAAACTCCTCCAACATGTAGAATTCGTGAGGTATAAAGATCCGTTAAATAGCCATTTTGAATGTACCTCAGAAATGGTGAACATTTACTCAGTTATAAATGACTCGGAATCCAAAAAACACGAATACACACGTACGCACGCACAAATAAATGTGCTATCCAGCGATTCGACCGTTCTCTTATGCAACATTGGGTATGGACAGCAACAACAGGGACGGCCTAAAAGACATGAGCACTCAAAGTGACAATTGTACATCAGTCGTATTTTAAGATGTCAAGCTGTAGCACATCGAAGAACACTGTCGCACGTACGGTAAACAGGACAAGGACGATGACGCGCCAAAAATAAGCCAGCACGTTTTAGTTAGAGACGCGCAGAATGAGCTGACATCCTAGCCAATCAACTATTCGCAACTCAGGGCTGACAGGTACAAACTTTCCAAGTTTTAGACTGTACATTGGCAAGAGCGGTTCCATGCAACACACAAGTGTGCCATCCGAAATCAATAGTTTTCAGCAAGATTCACTTACAGCTGTGGTGATCCCTGACCATCCGGACTTCAGGTTTAGGTGCAAAAGTTTAAAAATAGATGAAGTCGTGCTGCGTAAGCTTAGATACTGTTCCGCTTAGTGACGTTGTGGGTTGTCCAAATGTCTGGTAATATACCAGAGAAATATCAACGCTACCACAGTATCATTACTTAACACCAATACTAGTACCAATAAGCCATAGTATGCACGTAACCAATATACTGTTGGGTAAATAGTAGAACATAACTACGCGTTCGCAGGTTACGGACTAATGTTTGCTCCATTACAAAAAGAAACGGAAATGCGTAGATGCGTTTTGTACCAAATTCGTGAGCAGTTCCATTAAGTTCAGCATTAATATGACATGAGTACCTAGGGTACGGTAGGGAATAGCACGCTACTTACATCAATACTGGGATAGCTGCACAAAACCAGTAAGTTCGATAGCCACTGTAGACATTGGCTCAGGGAGTATGCGGCCGCGCGTGGCGCCTGGCGGAATATCTCAGACACAATCAGAGCGGGCACCGGACCCAATCCCAAAGCGAACCCGCAGATGTAGACGAGAATGAGGAGTGCCGAAACTATTCCCATGGCTTGCTTCACTGATGCCGATTGCGAAGATGTGGTGATGTTCACTGTAATGGTTAACAGCAACAATGAGGCGGCCAGGGCAAGTGTTGGCCACAGAATCAGTGTCCGGCGTCCAGCTCGCTCCATCAACGGCAAGGATATTAGGGTCATTATGACATTCAGTACACCAATCGCCAGCACGCAGTACTCATTGTACTCATCTGGAATGCCTGCGGTTTTGAGCATAGTCGATGAATAACTGATGACCTTAAAAGGGGGAAATGACGAATGTGGGGTGCAGGTGGAGGGTCATGGGAATAGGAGAACAGACGAAACCAAAACGATAAGCATATAACGATGAGTCCGTGAGCTTGTTGCATAGAATGGGGAATCAGAAACCCTTAGTTTCAGGGTGCGGGTGATCGACCGGGTGTAACGATGTCGATTCAGGCCCATATAAAGGATAACATTAAAGTGAAAAATGAAAGAAGTGGATTATCACTTGTTAGTAAGGGTAAGATGAATGTACAGGTATGCCCCAAGAGTGAAACAAAATTCGCCGTCTCTGGGAAAATTCGCTGCCGTATACAAGCATGTGGAATAAGCATGTCAACGGACGTTTGGATAGATTTTCCTCATCTCAAGACCGCCATTCGTAGAACATTTATGTTAGTTGAATTCATCGCTTGGTCAGCATTATCAGAAATAACGAGCGACCTGTTTTTTTAGTTTAAATGTTGTTTTTGAGAGGTTTAATGACACCACAAATGGCTGCATCTCATGTAATGTAAATACACATTGAGTAGCAGGGAAGTGGCAGAGACATTTCGGAACATAGTAGGGAAATCCGATGGATTCAGGTAGTGAGTCACTGACGTCAGGAAAAGCACTGAGAGACTGCCCCATTCTAATGCGACTCGGCAGTGACACAATTCATGAAACCATGCCGGATACGAACTGATGACCAGCTTCCGAATGGTTGCTGACTCAAACTTAGTGCAAGCCGACATGACTGGTCACTGGCTGCGCTTTCCAAAAGGAAGATAAGTTCGTCTAAAACATCTCAGGATGCGTCGTGACTGTCTTACTGAACCGAGTAACAACAGAACCCACACAAAACAGTGTTCCGGATGGTAGAAATGCAAATAACGTTTGATTGAAGTTAGTCAAGTTATCGCGTATCTGTTCACTGAGGTTTCGCTTACCGCGTTTATCCCAGATAGTTGTTGCAACACTTGGATGAGACAGGCAATTAGCACCGGCATGCGCAAGTCAGCGTGGGTGAACAATTGCGAAAACTTGAAATCCGGTTGATTTTTGGCTAACTCCAACTCTTCCCGTAGTTCACCAAGGAATGTCTCCACATTTTCTTTGCAATTCAATCGTGTGAAAGCCTTGCGCGCCGCGATTTCGTTGTTCTTCTTCACAAACAGGAACCGTGGGCTTTCCGGACAGAAGGGCAGGATGACTAGGGAGATGGTTGCGGGAACAGCAGATAGACTACAGGCGACCGGCCACAATACACTTGTGTTCAGTGTGCGTCTCAGTGTGGCCACATAAGCCATAACAATCCCAGTGGTGATGGCCAACTGGTTACACGCCCCGATTGCACCGCGTAGTTCACGAGGGGCAATCTCAGCCAAATAGATTGCAGCGATCCCGATTGTTATGCCGCAGTTGATGCCCAAGATAAAACGACCCACGAACAACAGAGCTGCCTGATTGGCGTACACGCAAGGGAGGCATAAAATGCCGCCGAGGATGGCAAAAGCATGGTTGAACATTAAGCCGTTGCGTCTGTACCATGTAAGGGAGATAACAGGGAAGTACAGAAGTAGAATGAAGCAAAAAAAGCTGAACGGAAAGGTTTGCGGCAGGACTGTCTAATACTTTAAAGTCGCTGTATCCTCTAAGCTATTCAATGAAAATAACGGTCCAATTAGGTTAGTTGATATATGACGATGAGTGAGATCCACCAAGTCGACACCCAGCTTTATCCGAGTGTTTTAAAGCATCAGTATCGAAGGAAGGCATGCTGAGATCTAGTAAGCTGAATATCAATGACCAAATTCGCCCACTGCTAAACGACGAAATGTAGGGCAGTGGAGGCTGAATTGTCATAGTCAAGGAAGTTACTTTCAACGTTTTCTCTGAGGAAATCTGCGTGGTGCATTTCATTTACCGCTTGCACAGCATGGTCTCGTCACCTAACCAAATCAACTCATTGACGTGCGGAGTGGGGTGAAAGCTAAAGGGCGCGAGATCATCTCTCCTCCGCAAGCGTTGAATCTGTGCCAGCTAGCATCCACATGGTTCAGTGGTGTTCATGTCATTCAATCCGGGAGAGAAGCTGACTAACTTAAGAATTCAACACATTACCCACCAGTAGCGTAAATTTGGCGAAGAAACAAATGTACTAGCAACGTGCGCGCACAAGGATGCACGACCTGTTAGGCTGTACACTTATGGTTAAACTATGCATATATTCTGCGTGAGGTTAAAAGCAAAAGCAAACTACCGATTTAGCTCACCTTCCAAGCAATTCAGCAACCCATCCACAGCTGAACGCGCCGATCGCACCGGCGACAACAAAGGTTGTGCTGACTTGTGCATAAAGAAAGGCTCGGTTGACGAAACCATCGGCTGTTACATTACTCTCCAGATTCAGTATGGTGCGTCCCAGAAAATCTTGCACATACTGTGTTAAATTAAAAATTGGGATATGGAGCTTATGCACGTGGCGAGAAAAGTAATCAAGCATTAGCGTGCTAGAAGCAACCAGTCACAACGCATTCGTGTATTCAAGATGACTGATTAGTGACAGGGCAAAGTGATGCAAAACAATTCAATAATGAGCTTGCAAATGAAACATTTATCTCGGGACCGAAAGCATCTTCAAGGAGGCTTCGTAGCCGTAACGCGCCGCAGTGATTTTCGTCTACCCATAGATGATGTGCAGTCGTCTAGTCGTCTAGAGTGTCGACGTAATTACTTTTCCCTTCGGGTTTGCCAACCCTGGAATGCACTCCCAGATTCAGTTGTATCCTCACCTACCTTGGACGTTTTCAAAAAACGATTAGATGTTGCTCTAAGCTCCCAGCACTTTGTTACCTAAACTCCTCTATTGTGGATTACGCCAAGCATGCTTTTCAACAGGATTTATGTATCAAATGAACCCAAGTGAGCGAGCATACTTTCCTTTTCTCACGCCGTATATCAACGACCACTGTACCCCAGTGTATTTCCGAACGTTTACGTTCGACTTTTTTAATTTCACACTGATGTTATTTGTCAAAGTATTCATCTCGGCAGACGTTTGGTAAACGACCCACATAAATTTTAATTTCATCGTATTCACCCCAACCATCCTACGAAACATGTCAAGCACCTGTTTTTATCCCGTGATAAGGCATTGTTCATTGTTCATAACTAAACTCGCTATAATTGGATACGCACACCAGCGCTTTATTCCAGGTATCACTAATGTACATGTAGGTAGCCCCAATGACCTGAAACTCGTGCTGCATACAGGGTAGCTAGGGTACTTCGTGAAATGACATGTGGAGCAAATTTCACTGTACCAACATATAAACAGCACTATGAGACCGGACATTCAAACAAAATTATGGTTAGTGATTCTCCGAAATCCATTAAGGTATACAGATGACAGCCTCTAAGTTACCGCAAAGCCGTTAAATAGAAAGGTCAGGCACTCGCACCGAGGCTCCTCTACACTAGTGCACGCCACTCAACTATGCACTGATGATTTCACCTCGATAGTTGACGAAACGCTTGCGACAAAAATGCCAAGCTCAGCGAACAGTACAACCGTCATAGAAAGGTCAAGGGTCAAATGTCAGACAAAATGGATCAGAACATGGACTTTACTGGGAATCGGGGAGAGGCTGATAGCATGATCCCCTCACAAGACAACAGGGTGAGACATTACTTTACAGGTTGTGAACACAGCCGACTCGGCAAAAAAGACGAGCGCCCTGGATTGCCGGTCGGATTCACGGTCGGAGAGCATCACTATTGACCGTTTATTTTCTAGCGTCACTGTCACACCCCACAGCCCTAGTCAATAATGTAAAACCGGTAAACATCGCTTGCATATGACCATGGGTTCAGTTGCGACATCTGAAATGGGCGAGAAACGTCATGAACACTATACATTTAACAACCTACAACCACTTCTATACCCTCTAGAGCTCTCTCTACATAGTTACCTCGATCAAAATCGCCTAGTAAAATCTATATATACACCTCCATGGTCTAAAAGAGCGTCAGTTGTTCGCAATGTATTTACATTCAAAGTCCTTGACCCTGCTGACTTCCAAAATACCATAAAACCTTCTGTGAAGCAACTAGCATAAAGCGTCAATAAGGTTAGCGCCGTAAAATTACGGAAAAGGATTCATGCTTATCCGGCAGTAGTCAGACTGAGTTCTACCGAGCAACCCACCTGGGAAGCAGTGGTCGGTGACCTCAATACCATACGGAAAATGCCTCACGTGTGTACTTCAGCCGATTATGATCTCGTACTTATGTTTATGACCATTCGAAAGCATTTGTTGCCTCTATTTTGGGTGCATTTGGTAGACCTACGAATACGGCAGAAACGCATGCACTAGTACAAGGAGCAACCTCAGCGTAGCGCAGTACAGCTTGTTACATGCACTAGTCCAGTGGTTCGCAAACTTGGTGGTTGTTACCCCCGGGTTCACCATGAACAATTACCCCCAAAAAATTGTAGATTACAAGTTAATTAACTATTGCATTGTTGTTTCAATTTACGAAAAGTGAATACTATTTTTAATTACATTTCACCATCCAAACAAAGAGCACATTGATTTTTGACTAACGTTTCATAAAAACAAGAGGTGATATAAGTTAATAAAGCGTTTGCTATTGCTTAGTTGCAATAATTTATGGTATATTTAGTGCTGTCTCGGCTAATCCACTTTGTAACTGACAAATCACCGTGTTGGATTCCACCTAAGCATGTCCCAGATCCCTACCTATTCGCTGCCCGGACCCCCTTCAGCTGACATTCTTACGGCTTGATGGATTGGATTATTTGATCGTTTTGCTTTAAATTGCGTCTGACTATTGCGTAGTCAGCTGTGTAGCCGGTTGGACTTTAGTTAATTGTGCCGGCATTTGGTCTTGTTTGGACCCGGTTTTACTTTGAGAACAGAACTATGGTATATTTTGTGGTGTATATTGTCAACATCAGTATATAAGTTGTTGCCCTAACCCTTCGAACAAATATCACCGTAGCGGATTTCCGGTTTTGACCTTCGAATTGACCCGGGAGTCTCACAAGTTGCTTGAATCCACCGACGATTTGACGGTAACACACTCCGTGCGCTGTGCCACAATATCATTCGTTTCCTTGCTTTGGTGTGTGACCCCTGATCAAACATGATAGATGTTAGTGGTATCTCATTTGTTTCATATATCCGTTCCAAGTCAGTGCTGGATAACAGAATCCCACTATCAATCTTTTTTGATAAGTTCTAAACATTAACCGGCTGTTTTGCCCCTTCTACCCTGTAAACGTTAGGTCGCCATTTAGCCTGGTCGGCTGACCTATGCTCCCAACTTAATATTCACTCAACTCTACAATTCGACCAGGCAAAGGAGTGCCTTACTCAAAGGAATAACGATCGACGAGCGAGCCGATAGTTGCGTTGCTTTGCAAGCTTGTATCAATAATTTCGATTATAAAGTTTAGGATTGACAACTGTCCAATTTGCTGAACATGCACTAAGTATTAGTCATTGATGGCTGATCAATAGTGAGTATATAGTTAGTTACTTCGCTGATACAGATGTTGTTGTTATTAATTTTGTTTGGCTACAGATTGATGATCCAATCCTCGTAAAATGGTATTGCACCCCCTTGGGGGTAAGTAGCCCAGGTTGAGGGAAAATTAGTTCCATTTTTAATCACTCCCCCTCCACTACAATTAACACTCTTTGAGTCCTGTCAACGGTGGTCCTTCAGCTGACACTACTCTCATTTCCACTAAGCCAGCTGAGGATAAATCATCAGCTGCTACGTCTGGGCCAGCGTCCTCAATATGACCCTGACCTTGCAGCGACACCGTGGTCAGTCCACTCTCTCCCTGCCCTCTCTAGTTAGAGAAGTTATAAACAAGTCAAACATTATCGCAATATTGATGTTATTCTTCTTAATGGCCGCTCATACGTAAACAAAGTTTAAAAGCTTCGAACGATTATCTCACTTTCCATTCGCACATTATCTTGGACACTGAAACATGGTTAGGTGAAAATACACTGTCCGCCGATTATCATATCGTAGGAAACAACACTTATGGCAGACTTCGAGCAGATAATCATGGTGGCGGATGCCATATATACACCAGAAATAGGATCCAGGCTTGCTCAATTACAGACTCCTATCTGCGCAGTCGGAAAGACACTATTCGTTTCTGCTCATAGCAATCAACTCGACCACTTCATCGGCTGCGTCTGCAACCCACTAAACTCTAATCCAGCCTCCGTAAACAATTTACGCAATACATTTCACTGTGCTTTCGAGCATCCTGCGGAATATAAACACACAGGTAACTTTAACAGATCGAATACCACTTGGGTTATACCCACCTCATCTAAAAAGTTTGGTAACTGCTTTCTCCGTTCATTCCCGTGGCTTGACTCAGCACGTACGGTTGCCAACTCCAGAGACCATATTATCGACTTCATTTTCATACAGTGTACCAGATACACCCGCCAATGTACTAAGCACTTTTCCCGGCAGTGATCATAAGCTGACTGTGTTTCATTTAGTTCATTTCCGCCGAATCTAATTAACATGTAGTAAGCCGTTATTTGATATCTTGAGTACGCTTACACCAACTGAGAACTAGGTACATCAATCATCAGACTGTCTGCATTGGTAATTTTGTCCCAACTGCTGACCCACAAATCTCTGTAAATGAGTTGCACAGCAACACTAGAAAATGTGTTTATATGGTCACACCGCTTAAGCGCAAGTGCGTTACTGATCCTAAATACGCAGATTACCTCAGGTAAAATGGCCAAAAGATGGAAATCCTTCGCAACATGTGCGGACTGACGAACGATTTCCCACTGGTTCTACAAAAGTAAAGAAATCCTAACCATTCGGCACTCAAGACAAGTGGAGGAAGAAACGCATGCACTTTCAGTTTGTTGCGTGCCTGGTTTTCCCAGCCGCGTCGAGAGAGAACTCACCCCGGCTCTGCACACAAGCGTTCTGTGCACAAGTCCGAGGTGAGGTACAACTAAACGTGATTTTATACACTCACCCGCCCACTCGATCGATCGCCTGATCGACTACACCGAGGCAGGCGATTCCCTTCGACGCAGCTTTCAGTCACCATCTCACCTTTTTTCGATGTTGTGGTCTTACAGGTTCCGCATCGCCTTCCAATGCTGCACAGCTTTCGAATCTGGGCTGCGATCTTAGTTGGCTTATTCTGCTGATGCGGCTTCTTGACCGAGTGCTGTGCCTGTTCACCACATTGCTTTTTCAGCCGCATTCGATAGTTTCCCGTTCTTTTCCAACTCTAAAATGATTTTCGCTTCCGAGGCCCCTTAACTTTAGGTGCCTGTTTAAGCCATATTTCATCTAAGAGCGCTAGAGTATGAGGCTGTCTGGGTCCGTGTTTGTGACGCGTTTTTCGCC